AGGGGGGAATGCGAAAGATCCACCCCCCCCTTTCCTCCCTCTCCTCCCTCCCCCTCTCAGGATCCTCCTATGTTTTCGAAGGTTGCATAGAAGCACCCCAGTGGTAGTTTTAATTCCTAGATATGCATCAGTACCAATTTGCCATCAAAAAAGAGTGAACGACGTAGAAGAACTGAGTACCTTAACAGCAAGGTCGAGCCCTAGTCGTTCTGCACACAAGACCAGGACTGCTTGCCACTGTGTCACTACGCTTTTTTTATATTTAAAGATATTTTATTAAAATTTTTTTGTTCCGGTAGGTTTTTTTTGCTTTGAAAAAACCAGTTTTTATTAGAATACTTAATACCAGAGCATTCACTGAAACAGGAAATATGAGTAATTTGGAGCGTTGAAAATGCATTCGTTTAGGAGCAAAAAGTTATTACATTGCAGCTCGATTGAAATGGGTATGTGGCGATGCTGAAGCGTTACCGTTTGATGACAATTCCTTCGATTTATATACCATAGCATTCGGGATCCGCAACTGCACCCATGTTGACAAGGTTTTTTTCTGTTTTCTTACTGAAATGCATATTTCTTCCATTAATTGTTTTCTTCACCATTTCACAGGTGGTTTCATGTGGTTTCTGGAGAGTTTCACGTAGCTGTAAATAGCGCTTTTTCCAGACCCATACCTGTAATTCGAAACCGCAAGTGTAGAAATCATCTACCCCTATGACCCGTTGAGAAATCGATACTGCCTCAGACCAGGGAATATTAGCTTATTTCGTGAGAAAAGGGACCATCAATAGCCAGTCCTGCGAGTGATGGCAGTTTACAGTGTATTTAGCGGGAACGAAATTTTGTAAATCTTTCTGACCGATTTTTTGACCGATTTGACCGATTTTGACCGATTTTTAACCGATTTGACCGAAAGATAAACGATTTTTTAGTTTAGGAGGGCTGGGCGACAAATATTTCGTGCAGCACATAGCCAAAAATCTATTATTGGGCTGTTGATGTTGAGACTAGAAGGAAGTGAGGTGCGGCGCGATATTTAGTAAGAGTACTCTTGCAGAAGTTTTGTCTGAGCGGTCTTGGTATTCTTGATATTCTGAATAGTTGGGATGGGAAAATGATACGTTTTTTATATTTCTAAGGAAATGAGCTCTCTGTCTTTCATGTCCTTTATTAGCTATTGGTTGCTGTGCAAGTGTTTTCTAGTTTTTCAGGTTCTCAGAGAAGCACACCGAGTGTTACGGCCGTCAGGAAGATTTGCTTGTCTCGAATTCAGTCAAGTTGGTCCGTTGCTCAGGCCATTCTACGACTTTTATAGTTTCCAAATAATCCCCGTCTTGGGTCATCTCATTGCTGGTGATTTCCGGAGTTATCGTTACTTGGTGGAAAGTATACGAAAATTTCCCAATCAGGTTAGCTGAACTGCTTGAATTATTTTGTTGATTTTGTTGTTTCTCAAATGTATTTACGACGCAGTACCTACAAAAAGTATGTATATGTTTGCTCGGTAGAGGGCAGCATTTTAATTCTTTTGCGGCTGCATAGCTTGCCAGAAAGTATTCTAAGGAAGTATTAAAGTTCCAATTTTAAACCACCGAATTTACGGTCGGCACGTCGTAATTTTCTTTGTTTAAAAGTGAATAGCTTGAAAAAATTTACTGAGTCTCCTCCTTTTCTCCTTTCGTCTCGACCCATTCTCCGCTTCAGTTCTTTTGTCTTCAAGTAAATACTTGTAAAGACTTCCTCTAAAAAATAGTGTATTTTTATTAAATTCATTGCTCTAAGCAGCTGTATTCTTAGCTGCGAACTGCACTTTCAACATAAACTGCATTAGCTTAAATTTTTTTGCGGCTTAATCTCAGTCAAATTTTTAGTTTTTATTAGGTTTAATCCTTTAATATGCCCGAAATGCCTAATGTTCACTAGTAGAATAGCCTTAGTAGTGGCATTGAGCTATCTGTTACTCGGCGATTCGTCTTTGTTGGGCTGTCACGAGACTCCGGCTTGCCGAAGTGGGTTGTCAGTTCCTTGGCGGGAGTTTGGGGTGATAGTGACCTTTATCACCTGCACAGGATACCGGGACAAAATACTGACGCCGCACTGCTATGACACTGAATCAACACTTATATAGGTTGCTTTGTGCCGTTACATGGCCTATCTAGGAGGGAGTCATGGTGCAACAATGGTACTTAAGCCTGATAAGTATTTTAGCATTTAGTATCAAGTAAATATTCACTTGCATGGGCATGGGGGAACGATGAGCTTAACTGTATTCACCGTAAGAAATTTTCAGGAAGAATTCAAAAGGATGATTGTGGATGCTGGTTTTAGAAATGTGAAATACGAAAATCTGTCCTGTGGAATTTGTGCCATTCATACCGGTTCAAAAAGCTCTCCTAATCAGTGATAAGTGTGCTGCCAGTGCCTGTCCTTTGTTATTTTTCTCACTCTCTCGCTCCCTCTCAACTGATAGTAGTCACTAATAAAACTTTTTTTGACTGATCTACCTTATCATCATGCCTAGCCATGGCCATCATATAATATCTATGAGTTGTTTCTTTTTTACTTGCTCATTGATTTCAGAAATAAACGAGTGCTAGAGTGATCTGTTTGGGCTTCTGTTGGTTGATTGACTGAAGAATTTTTTGCATTTTCTAAATAAGATTTTTGTCTTTTTTTTTGTGGGGAGAGGGGGGGAGAGGGGATTTTTTATGGATGTGAAATTTTTTCGCAGTGAATTGTGACAAATACTTTTTGTGGGCAACGGAAATGCTATTTTAGTTTTTGAAGTTCCGGATTTGACAGAATGTGAGGCAAAATTTCTGTGACTCTCCAGATTTTTCTAACGAATTACGGGAATTTTGCTTCAGATTTCTTCAAATCTGAAATTTTAAATTTTATATATGGACGTGGGGCCAAGCTTTGTTTTCTATAATAAGAAGTTGCATTTTTTTTAGCACTTAGGTGCGGCGAGTTGTGCAGCTCATATGCCTGTATTGGTGTAAAAAAATGGCTGGTCTGTTAACACACCGGAGTGCTTTGCGTGGATTTCCCTCAATTCGATCGTTTTTCGCATCGGCTAATTTATTGTCAAGGTATGTTCGGAGTTTTGGAGTACACGTATTTCAGCTTTATTCTCGTACATTTTCCCTCACGTCACTTCTGAAAAAAGAATCAGTTGCTTGCGACATTCTCAGCAAATCCAAGATCGCGAATATTTTAAATACATCTCAGCCTTCATGCCGACGAGGTCCAGTTGTGGTGCTGAAAAGGAATGTATATAACTCTATGAACTTAAACATTCACCTTCATTTTATGCAGACGAGGTCCTGTCGCGGTTTTAAGACGTATATAGCTTAATGCACCGAAACGTCTTATCTCACTCTTATTTTCTCATATCGTTCTCTCTTTCTGTATTCTATCGTGTCTTCACCACTTAGGCTTTCAGAGTCAACCGGATGCTACAGTCAACTTATTCTGTTCCTCTCGCATGACTAATTCTTTTATTAGAAACCGTTCAGTTATTTTCAAGTTCCCTTATGCAAATCATTTAATCGTCTTTCCAATTATAAAACACAAAAGCAAGTCGGCAACATAGCACATCGAGTAGTCTAAATTTTATAAGGAAAGTTCCGCTTTGTCCGATCTGTGTTTACAGCTGAGGGATGAAATACGGAGACTGCGTCGAAAAATATCACCCTACTACATCTTAAAGTATAAAAGGCAATTTGCACCATAAAATATCACCTTACACATGGCGCCTGCGTACAATCTTGTTGGTCTATTATTTCTGAAAGAAGGAGTGCTGGTTTTCAGCATTGAACGCTCTTTGTCAATGCTGAAGGCAGCTCGTTAAGAAGCTGGGGTTTGATCGTTTAAAATGCGAATGCAAAAATTGGATTTTTTTTAGGTTACGAGAAGGCAGTGGTTGTACGGTTACGAAAGAATTAGGCCATTTAACGGCGCAGAGAAGCGATGAAGAGCCTTATCCGTCGGGTCAGGTTAGTAACTCTGATTTTATAACTCTGCGGCTTTTCCTTGTTCAGTAGAATTCAATTAAAATATTCATATTTCAGCTATTTCTTCATAAAGTCTTCCCGTATCGAGGCATTATTTTGTGTTCATTCACATGTCCTGTTGAAGAAAAGCCTGTAACTCCATATGAGTAAGTTTTGCATAAAAATTTACTCCCATCAGTTTAGTTTCATGTTTTGTATGTTTTCTTAAAATTAGCTTCTTCGGGGTCTGGCTGAGATTTTGATAAACTTACATGATATTTATGCAACTAGCAGTTTCTTCACTTGTTTTAACCAGAGTTGTCTTGGTTTTCCATGGTTTTTCACCTATTAGCAATCCGGGCGTTTGTTCCATCTGCTGAAGAGATTACCAGCTCAGCTGTCTTCGATAGAAGTACTTGGGAAGTCTTTAGCCGCTTTGAGATATCCTTTTATGTGCTGAGCATTTTCATCTCATTTTGAAGGTTATCACTTCTAAAATATGTTGAGTATACCACTGATTTGTGAGAATTTTTTCCTTAATTTAACAAATATG